TTACTAAAAAAACTCGAGTCGTTTTTCTCCTCTCCAAATTAATTTTTATTAAAAATTCTGTATTTTTACCCGTCACACCTCTCCGAGACAAGAAAATAGAAAAAATTTCACATTTTGTATTTTTTTAAAAACGAAAAACAACGAAAATCCATTCCAAAATGTCTTTAGTCTGATTGGGTAAAAAATGAAAATAAAAATAACTCGAGTCTTAAATCATTAAAGTTGTTCCAAAAAGTGTGCAAAAAAGAAAGTGAACCAGGGTTTTTAAAACAAACAAGATAACAAAAAATAATTAAATTATGTTTTACACTTGGTTCGAATGGAAGTTCTACCAAAATCGATAAGAGATTGATCATTTACAACCAGTTTATCACACCCCTATAAGATTATAACATATTTTTTATTTTTTGTTCATAATTAAGTATCATGTTTACTACACTTTTTATTATTAAAACTGTATTGGTGTTGTTACAATTTGATTTTGTGTGTTATTAAATAGTAAAATAACAAACATAAATTGTTTGATGAATCTTGATTGTTTATGACATTGAACAAATATAATGTTCATTAGAATTTAAATTAAGTTTTTTGACCCTTGACACAGAGCAAATTTATTTAATATATTAAGTATACATGTATAAAAACAATAAGTTAGTAATAAAAATGTTGTTAACATTTATTAACTTTTTAACTTGGTTTAATAATTAATGGTTATAGTTAAATGTGTTGTGTTTAAATACAAAAGTTGCCTTATAGTATATTTGGACTTTTTTCGAAATCAAAAGAATATCACAGTTTAAAACCATTTTGGTTTTAACGTGTGGCTGAAGCATACATGCACATAAGATATTTAAATCAATTTCTTATAGTTTAAAAGTTAATCAACACATTTAATCAATAGACAAATACTTTAAAGTAAAAATTTAATTCAATAAACACATTTATATTGACATTATTGTAAAAATAAAATTTTATTATAATTGTTAAAATGTGAATAATTCAAAATGCCGTCTGTTAACTGTTAATTATGGTTTTTTAATAAATCAAATAAAATCTCTATATTTAAAGTATTTGAATAAAAAATACACTTTTTAATTTCTTGTTGTGCTCAAATAAAAACAAAAATCTGATTATAAATATGATTATTTGAAAAAAGACACATTTTTTTGGGACCGTCCTTTGCCACCACCACCTCTTAAAATAGAACATTTTTAAATATAACATTTATATTT